TCTGATGCAACAAAAATAGAACTTTTTATGAAAAATGGGATCTCGGTCGAAAGAAATAATTTTTCGGAGTGTTCATTTTCGAAGAAATTTGTGTCTATTTTGAATGGAAATGGTCCAATAGAAACACTATAGACGGTCTGTTTCGACCAAATTCCATTATTTAAGGCTCTGGAAACGTGTTTTTAATTTTTCTGGATATTTTTGTTAATTTTAATTAAATTAGGATGTTAATTTTGGTTTAGAGTTAGTCGGTATCATTAATTCTCATTATTATTTTAATTATTGCTTTAAACATGAGTTGTTAACCTTAAAGCATCTCTAAGAATCTCTCTTTATTTTTAAAGAGTATATTTTACAATTTAGAGAGAATCTATAAATTTAGAGAGTAAAAATTTTTAAATATTATAACAGTCTTTTTATTTTTAACACTTAATTTTACTACTCCTGATATGTATTTATTATTTTTTTTCTATCTTTTATTTTTACTAATTTCCCTCCAAATTATTTTCCTCTATTTTCTTTGAATATACTATTTAGTTGGGTCAATAAGTGGAGCATTGAAAAGTGGAATATTCTGAACGCATTTAATTATAGATAATAGGTTTGGTGCTCCAAATTTGGAGAGTCAAATCTGCTCTTTATTTTAAAATGTTAATTTGAATAGTCACTTGAAGTATAATTTTAATGATTGAATATTTAAAACAGAGAGCATTTTACTTTTAAAGCACTTTTTGAAGATCCTCTTAATGACATTAGTTGAATTTGAATTTAATAAAAATTCTTGAGAAGTTTCTCAAAATTATTCTCTTTCTTAGTTATTCATGAGCAAATCATCAAATTTGATTTTTTGTGAGATTTTATTATTTCCAATAAACCTCTGCTACATAAGTTCCAAGAGTTTTGAAAATGTGCAATCAATTGGCATCGTTTTTCCAAATACAACCTCTGTTCCATGGAAATATACTTATTTTTATTTTCACACATATTAAGAAAATATAAATAATATTGTTGGAAATATAATTTTTTTATTTACTTTTCCTACTTACATTAAATAATAATTTAAATATGATTAGTTTATATTTGTTGACAATAAAAGTACATTATACATAGACATATTTGAAAACTAAAAAATATCTATACTTTCAATAAGGAAAGTGACCTCTAATTTGGGACGGACGAAAAAGGAAGTTAAGCTTATTTTTATGGGACGGAGGTAGTATAAAGTATCTAACGTAGTTTCTTGCTTCGTTCCACCCTCCACCATAGTATACAAAGACGCCTATCAGATCCATAGCTGCCTTTTACACCAACATAACGGAGATGAAATAACCAAATTGTAAAAATGACTAAATACAATTCAATATACATCACACATATCAGACAACACATGCTCAACGTGCAAAAATTATGACTTAAATGAACCAAATTTAACGATATGGATCATTCAGAGTTTCATTTATCTCATAATCTATAATCATGCATTATGTATATGCTTCAAAGTCAGATGTATATGAACATACAGAACTGCATAAATATTCGGGAAGAATATTATTTTGTTATTCCTGAAAAAATAAAGGCTTTATAGAAATTAACATTTTGGAAAAATATTGTGTTAATCTCGAAGATTAGTTTTATACAAGTTAATTTATGATAAATGCTGCTTGAGAAGCATAACTTATATACAAATATTTCATATTTGGAAGAATCATGGATTGATGTTTCATAGAATGACTTTATTCAAATTGGTTTTTCAAGAAGAAAAAGAAAGTATTATGCTTATACGCTTGAAGAGATATAATTGTGGACGAATTAATATTTTAATATATCTATAAGAAATATGACAATGTTCTTGAACAAACACGATGTACTTATCTAGACCGCCTAAAGGGGTCTTAAATATACAACTACCTTACGTGACCATTTAATTTTTTCGACTTATTACTGGAGAATTTGCAACAAAGGTCTCAAACATTTAAAAAGTGCATTGCGGTCCCATACCTTTCAATCGTAGCATATACGTCCCAAACCTTTCAAAAATGTTTGGTACAATGACCCTTGGAAGGTTTTCGACCAAAAATCCGTTAGTTAATCAAAAGTCAAGCGTTTGATCATAATTTAATCAATTTTAAGAGGGTAAAATAATATTTTAACATTAAATTAATTAAAATAAGAAAAATTTGCATCGAATGTCCCAAACTTTTCAAAAATGTGTAGCACAATTCCAATTATTTAATAAATGTGCCCAAGTAGAACCATAACGATTTCGATCTAAACATTTGTCACTAGACCAAAAGTCAAATATCTTAGCTTAATTAGACTAATATTTGAAATGGTAAAATAATTTTTTGACATTTAATTAATTATAATATTAAAAAATGGAAACAAAAAAATTTAAAAATATTCGTCTTTCCCAATCTGCCTAACCACAACCCAACCGCCACCTTAAACATAAACCCAAACTCACCCAACCCTTAACCAATTGATAGAGTAGTCGACCCGATGACCTTAATAGAGCAAAGTGTCAGCCTCTGATCTCCAGTCGGGACGAGTAAAGCTACTTTACTAATTTAACAAAAAAGATGATAGATTTAGATTTTTGCATTTTCGGGTTTGCCGAGTGGATGTAAGAAGCAAATTTGAAGTGGTAACTAATTGAGCTGACTGTCGAACTTAGTGACCACGGGTTGTTCAAGTCATTTCGTTTTTCATCGAAATACAAATAGTGTCTGTTTGTGTTTCTTTATGTAAGATTCCAACTTATAATGTTATACAACAATAGAGGTACTTAATCACATGGATAATATAAATGCAATAATTAGTATTCTAAAAAGTATAAGGAGTGGAGGTCAAACTTCGATCGATGTGTGCCTATGCGAGGAAAAAACATTAAAAAAATGTTTTCTTATTTTAATAATACATACAAATTATAGTACCAAATGCAGTTTTAAGTGCTTAACAAAATAAATATATTTTTGAACAATAAAGAAGATATATTATAATAGTGCTAATTAAAATATGAGTCATGCTAGTTGTACAATCGAAGTTGACAACCACTCACATGGGGAGTCCCTTTTTTTTTTTGAATTTTTTAAACATGCGGACTTTGCTCACATGTGAGAGGTTGTAACCTCGATTGTACAAATAAAATTTTCCTTAAAATATTTGGAAGAGTTTTTAATTTTTATTAATTTGTGAAAGGTAAGAACATTATTAATTAACTTAATAAAATATAAATAACTATTTATACAATAATACAATATACTACAGTCAAACTAAATGTACAATACACTGTAGCCAAACCAAAGGAAAAATACATTACAACCAAATCAAAGGTACAATGTACTACATCCAAATCAAAGGAATTCTTATTCCACATCGAAAGTTTATAACAAAATCTTTGGGAGCTATAAATTAGTGGACCAATAAGTGGGTAACCAACTTTTTGGGCAATTCAATCCAATTGACCTAGATGAAGTTGAAAACTTTATTCAACTTCATTCTGTGTAAAAAAAATAATAGTAATAAGGCACGCTCGCTAAATTAGCACATAGGTCCTAAATGTAGCGTTTTTGCCACACGGCGCTTCAAGGCACGCTATTTAGAACACTGATAATAACTGTTGAAAAACATAAAAAATATTATTTATTCAATAATATATAAAGTGTGTAATTGTTATAATCTAATACTTTGGGCACATATCCCAACAATAATAGATAGAGACTCTTGAAAAATGTCAATACTTGAGGTCTTCGCATTAACACGAAAGTAATTTTCAAAAGTAAAAATAAAAAGGGTGCGATATGAATACCATTCTAGTGAAGGTTTGTAGGCATCTATGTTATCGAGCCGCAGTTCATGAAATCAAAGAATATGTTTCTTTTCAATTTTTACCTAATCAAACATCATATTGCACCTTGATTATTTGAAACTATTATCGAACACGATTGCATAGTCATCCTTGTATTTGGCTTCACTTGTTTCTCTTGCGGAAACTAATTTATGAATAATGCCTTCTTCTTCATGTGACCAAGGAGGCATCTTTCATAGCTTTCCAAGAAGTTTAGGGAACATTTTAGGCTATGGTGGTGCTACTCTCTAACTCTTATATACTCTACATAATATCCAGTTTCCCTGTCAATCATAATAAATCAATATTAGAATGATAGTGAATGAAATATTGGGCATGGCTAGTATATAATCAGGGGCGGAGCCCCATTATCCGCTTGCACTGAACGTTGGGCTCAGGCACATTCCCCTTTTTTATTATTATTTGTTTTGAGAGCCCCATATTTGGAATGCAATGATGGGATGGACCGAAGTTTGTTGGCTTAGTATGCTAAAGTTTGTCTGAACTTGCCTATTTGTTGAATTCGTATGCTAAAGATAGTGTAATATGCACTTGCAATATAACTAATCAAAGTTTTATCTTCCCAGTTTCGATGACATGTATCTATGAATTGACAGAGTTTCTATGTAATAATAAGATATTCAAGTTTTTTTTGTAAGACAAAAAGACAGTACATTCTAGTATAAAAACTTGTTATTCTTTGACAAAAAGATAATACATCCTAGCATAGAAATCCAATTTTTTGAACGAGATAATTTTTGAAGATTTATAATAAAATTATTGTAAAACGATATCAAAGTATGAAAACTCGTAAAAAACTAGTGTAACCTATAAACTACATCATTTTTAGTATTTTTGTAATATTGTTTTACTTTTATCATTATTAAAAAGTTCGACGTCTATTAAATTGTGCTCGCACTGAACAAATTTCCTGGCTCCCCCTTGAATATAATGGATAAAATATGTGTTCGTATCATGCATGTGTACAAACTAAAACTCCATTAGCTAGAAATCATATACATTTAAAATTGATACTCATTATGAAGAAATGTTCGCATTTATTTAAATAATTAGTGATCATAGTACACAAGTCACGTGCATTGAATATGATGAAGTTGACATAGCAAAAGAGCACAAAAGAGTGGACGATATACTAAGAGTTAAAAATAAGTGTTTTAGGAGGCACCTGAGGGTTCTCGAGGTTAAATTCATCCATGGTCCAACCTGTTCTGATATCAGGAGCATTTTTTATGTAGAAAAATGATGTCGTTTTCCTCCCTGCAATAACTCTTGTCGCCGGATTAACCACCTTCCGACTACGACTTGCAGCTTTCCAGTAGCCAGAGCTCGTGGTCCTATTCCATCGAAGGTTGAAGAAATACCACTCTGTCGAGTTCATTTTCGCCTCATCTGGGAAACCATTAACCATGCATACAAGCATTATGTTTCATACCAACGAAGGATGACAAAAATTAAGAAAATATTCTAACAATAAAGCTTTATTTAAGAGGTGCAATATTTAGACTTTTAAACAACACACGTGAGTCATAACATGTGTAATAGAAAATTTGAAGGTGTAGAAAAATTAGGATTTTGTCAAGTTAGAGATGACAACGGGGTGGGTATGAACGGATCAGCCATTCCCATCCTTGTCCCGTCAGATATTTTTGTTACCTTATCCTATTCCCGTACCTGATTAAAGCGGGGCGGGGCGCTTATTTTTTATTTCTTTTTTTTATGACTTTAGTAAATATTATTACATTTTTATTAATTTGTTAAAAACAATTTATGTTCTTTTTAAAAATGATGATAAATATATTATTTTTGTTTGATAAAAAATTTAAATTTAAAATTAACTTTAAATGGGGTGGGTAGTGAGGCGGAAACTATATTTTCAGTATCTGTCTCGTACTCGCTTCAGGATAATGACTCTTGCCCCATCCCCACCCCCACCCCCACCCCCATTTACTCGATCAGGTAGGTATTGGATTAAACGAGTTTTTTGCTATCCCTATGTCAAGTTACAATATTATATTACATTATATAGATTTTAACAGGCTTGGGGTGTCTATATATATTATCATACATGCACCTCCTATTTTGATGCGCGATGATGCCTATGAAACAATAAACACGAACAAATTCGATCTATGTTACATATTTCCGTTGATTTGTAAGAATACCACGATCTTGTAACAACATAAAATTGAGAACTCCAAACTTTTTGTTATGAATGTCATTTCAATTTGAAATAAGTTTATTGACCAAAGTACCAAACAAGTTTCGGGGGTAGCATTACCCCCTCATAGTCATAGACAATGAATGGCAGGGATGTTCTCAACTAAAATTTTTATGGATTTTAAAAGAATATAAATTTTTATGAATATTGTGAATTTAAATAGATTTTCACAAATTTCATAAGAATCTCATTAGAAATGATAAAATTTCAAAATATTTTGTTATATATATGTATATTTTTGAGGTTGAAATCCATCCAAATTGTTTAAAATCTCTCTTTTAATAAAAATAAAATCCTTATAAATTCAATAATTATTGAAAATATCTAAATTTTAAAAGATTTCATTGAAATTCATTAAAATATTTGAACACACCTAAATTTTAATGGATCTTCCTAAAATTTATTTAAATCTCAAATGGGGACACCTAAATTGAGAAGGATATCCATCAAAATCTCAGTCGAGGACTTTCCCTAAATAAGAGAAATATAGTTAAATGATAAATTAAATTATTGTGATTCTCTCTCACAAGTTAGAAAAATTACGACGAATCTAAGAGGACCGATTTTATCATGAAGGAGATTTGACAACAAATTGATATTCAATTACCTTACTTAAAGATTTAAATGCTTAGAAATAATTTATTTATTTAAATTTAATATTGTGTAATCAATGTACAAAAAAATGATTATGGAATATTGTCTAACACAAGGACAAAGGTGGGTAGGGACGGCAAAAAAGCTCGCCGACTCGGGCTCGGCCTAGAAAAAGCCCGAGCCGGGCCTGGCTCAGGTTGAGCCCCATTTTGAGGGGTCGGCCCGAGCCGACACGGGCCGGCCCGTAATTAATAAAAAAAATTAAAATTAATAAAAAATTTTTTTAAAGCTATCTATAGGCAGATAAGATAGAAAAAAATAAAAATAAAAAAATAAAAAAGTGAGCCGGCTCGGCCCGCTAAGGCTTGGGCCAAAGCTAGAGTCGAGCCTTATTTTTTTGGCTGGGCTGGCTCGGGCCCCAAAAAAGCTTGAGCCGAACCCGAACTTTTTTTTCCTGCTTGGGCTCGGATCGACTCGACTCGACTCGTTAACATATCTAGAGGTGGGGTACATATGGGAGATAAAGGAGGCTTACCGGCGAGATCCCATGGCTCAGTTTTACTTAAGTCAACAACCATCAAGTCGACGTCCTCGATTTCTTCATGGACATCCTTTTTGTAAAGATAATGACACACTATCTCTTCATCAGTGGGATTAAACTCATACGCCATTTTTTTTTTTTTAAGTTCTTTGACTAAGGACTCTTTAAAATGCTAAATTTTACGTTAGAAAAGTTAAATTATTTGAACAAGTCGAGCATATATATATATACGCATCGGTATGAACATGACCCTTTGCCACTCGGAATTCACTAATAGCTTGATCAAATCAAAGTCACGAGACATCTTTTGTCAGCATGAGGAAGAATCGGGATAAAATCTCAATATTATTCCTTTTAATTATATCAAGAAAGAAAGATATGTGTGATTAATTTTGTACATTTCAGTATAAATAAAAACATTCACAGGGAGACCAATTTATAGACATATCTTATTGCTCAATTTAATTGTCAAATAAATGTGAATCTCTACTAGTCTAGGGTCCATTCTTCACCCTTTTAGAGGAAATTAAGGATCAAATTTAATTAAATGGTTAGGTTTGTGCAACTAGAGTTTATTAAATAAAAATGCAAACTGAGATTAGTACTAATTAATAATTGAACATATATATATTCCTTGTTCCTTGCCGAAAGATTAATTAATAGTAATACATTAATGACTCTCCTATAAATAGGAGATAAATAAAATACAAGGGGGAATACTCTATCTATAGGGATGCATCCTCATGGTTGTTGGGTATTTTTTTGTGATGGCCAAATAATCCCTAGGCGATGATGAAAAACATTGGCCCGTTTAACTTCATAGGCTATAAGCCCGAGATTGAAGAATA